TAACACTGTGGTGAGAGTAACAAAAATACTTCACCACAATATTAAAAACCAAATTGGTTATTAACTTTTACAGTATTGCTAACTTTCTGGATTTTAATTGCCTTCATCTTATTCTTTGATAGATACATTCCAGTACAGTAAATTGTTTGTTTGTACTTATCAATTTGCTTCTCAGTGTTTCTTCATTAAGTAGTACATGATACCAGCCAACAGTGTTCTCTATGTTGTTTTGGGCAGTACCGTCCAAGCAGACCTTGATCCTAACAACCTAGCCTTGATAAACCACTTATCATTATCGTGTCTCACAGCCCTGACACACATACTCCTAACTATCCAACCGTCTTCGTAATTCGTTCTCTTTCTACAAATTGCCTGATGCACTTGAACCCTTGAACCATGGTAAAATGTTTTTGTTTACCCATTATTCTCAACGTTCAGTAAACTTAATTATGTCCCCAACTTAAAACTGTAAGAAATATGTTATTAATGTTTTTGGCCCAGCAACTCACTACACTACACCACATGCTGTCCTTATCTATGTCCACATTCTCTTCCTTCAGTTTTCACGCACTCCTTCTCAGAACAAACTCCTTTGTCCTCGCTCTACTCCTTTTTAGTAACATGTCACACATTAGTGATCTGTGTTGCAATATATAATCTTCCCCTGCCATCATCTTTATATCCCTAACAAACACCTGTCTTATTTTTGGACAATTATGTCATCAATTTGGGTTTTTGTGCCACTTGACTCATACGAGGTCAGTCTACTCTCCCTCTTAAACAGTGTTGCAGACCACTCTATTCAGTGCATCTCTGAACTCTTAAGTATTCTTTCTCCACTTCTCCATGTAGCAACTCATCCCAAAACTTGTCCTTGTCTTCCTCACATAACAGAATCTGTCACTAGATTCTTGCCCACCATTAGCTTAATTTTTCTGAATTAATCTGTGCATGTGTCATATAAAGTTTGTATCTGCAGTTAATGACTCTACAGTACAGTACCTCTAGCCATCACAGCTAGAGATAAGAAAGATGCTTTAATGATGAAATTGAAGATAAGTTTCATTGGTACATAAATGGAAGCAGCAAAAGTTGGCCACCAGCAAAAATATTACAGTAACTTAAAGTGTGAATCAATGAATTGGAGTTGGATTATTACAATGGAACATAAGAATTGAGTTTGTCTTGAAGAATTTGTTGGAAAAATTTGTATTTGAATTTAGAATATGTTGCAAACCAGGAAGAAGGGCTGTAGTGTGAATAAGACTAAAGGAAGAAAATGATAACTTTTCAGTAGCAACCAATCTACTACTGTAGTGTACTTTGAACTCTCGTTTATATGGTAGATTGTGAAGAAAAAAAATTAATACGGTTGACAGATACTAATACTCTGCCTGCTGCCAATTTCTTTATTCTTGCAAAATCTCTCCTTGTGTTGTTAAGTGGAGTTAGATGCATCAGGTTGAAATCCTGTTTTTGTTTTTTTTATATTATAAAGTGACTTGGCAACTATAGGCTCCAGGCTTAGGAACCCAGGGAAGCTCTCACCCAGGATGGTAGAGGCAGACTAAAGATTAGCCATCCCAGCAACAACTCTATCCCATAAAAAGAGGGTAAGTAAGAAGTTGTAGCTGTTCATAAGCTTAAGATTAGTGAGTCAGAAGGTTGGACATCACAGTGCCTCCATGACTCATTCAGGTCTGGTTGAGTCATGAACTAGGATGGATGACCACTTAACTTCCCAACTGTTGGCCCTAGTGGAAGGAGCTACTCTTCTGTTTCTGCCTGTTCATTAGACAGATAAGTTCTGTGTACATCAGGGTTTTATTAGGTTGAATAATTCAGCTCTAGGTTTTGCTTACAAGGTATGAGTGTGTTTGTCTTTTGTTGTCAAGAGTTTACTCCTGGTAACAGTCTATTAAGAGGGTGAGGCTGCTAAATTCTGGCATGGTACCGAGTTCAATCTAGATTACTGTACATGGATCATTATGTTCCTCAGTGGTGCTTAATTCTTAGCAGTTTTTAATACATTACTGTATATCAAGGGTTTTGGGGGACCTGCCACATGATATAGAGTGGATCTACAGTACAAGAGGATATACAGTACAAAAAATTTATATGGCACGGCTTTTTATGTATCATTCTGGTGGTCAGTGTTGTTAATCCAACCTGGGGAGCTGGTGGAGCCTGTACATGGTGTCCTCTTCTTGGGGTTCTTATATGCTCTTCTCTCTTCATCTTCATTCTGCTGTAACTGTTTCCCATGTAAGCAGAGCTAGAAGGGTGTGGGTAGATTTGGTTTTATTACTCAAAACTGCTCTGTGATGTTGTAAGGTTATTGTAACTCAAATGTAAATATTGTAGAGTGTCAGCTGGGAGATACAACATGGTGAATCCTTTGAAGTATCTGACCCCTGAGTAGCATGTTTTTAGTTGATTGATCAATTCAGGAAGGCTTTAGTCCTTTGCCATTTGAAGCTTAAGTCTACCTTTTTATTTATTATTTATTTAATTTTTTGTGGGTATAGTGGGTGAGAGATAACAGTGCTTGTCTCCAGGTCTTGAATGTCTCTGGTTAGTGCCAGTGACATTTGGGTTCATTACTTTTGCTGGTAGAGTGAAAGTTTGATGGTATTGTTTTCTGCATTGACTCAGTACTGTATGTGCTGGAGTGTTAGTGTTCATTGCGCTGGATCAACAGGTCACCTCCTAAGAGGTGTTTTGTCGTTTTGGAGCAGTTTTGTACCACATCCTCCCCTTCTCATGGCTGAGTTTTTGATGTTTGAGTTGTTTTAGATAGACTTAGGTTGTGAATGAGGACTTGATCTGGAAATCCCAGTTTATTACTTAGCCTGGACAACATGCCTTCAGGGAATCACAGCCAACCCATTAAACCTTTTTCCACTTAATGCAGAGTGTAGAAAATGAACAAATATACTGTACTTACATAGTTTCTCATCATATATTATCATTCATATCCCTTCTTACTGCTGTAAAAGGTGTGCTCTGCTATGGTACTCCCCTTTCACAATAAGGGTCCAAATCTTATTTACCTCTGTCATTTCACACAAACCAATGTCACCCACCAGAAACATGTCCTTCCCCAAAAGTTATTCACCTCCATACTCTGTTTATTTACACACACACTTCTGCTTTCTGGATGTTTATCCTCTTATTTCTAGTGCATCCTTCACCCTATTCCTGCCATCTCCTTCATCTTCTCCTTTCCTTCATACTGTCCACTTCGACTCATACACCACAATTCTTTTTACTGATCTTTTTCTTCCCATTCTCACATATACTGTATGTCCTTGCCATCTTAGCATGCCCTGATCTTCTCTCTCTTTAACAATTGCTTCTGTTTTACTTCTCATTTATGCATTCCTTCATTTTTTTTATTCTCAAACATCTTATTTCTGTTGCTTACAATTATTCTCCTTCCTCTATCATCCACTGTTCACACCCATGTAATTATCTTGGCTCTACATCCCTTTCTTTGCTTCCTTTCATGTGTTTACTGTCTCAGTGTACAGTACATTTTAATCCACTTATTGTTTTTTACCTTGATACAAGTCTTGGGTAACTCATGTACAGCTATAGAAGCCTAAAGGGTGAAAGCCTATGATCAATATAGTGTAGATTAGTTAATGTGGGTGTTGGTGAGATCTGAACCTCGAGTAACATGGCTGTGTTCAGAGAGGCGTGACCTCAGTGGCAGCACATATCTGACTCTACACAGGTAACAGCAACACACATCACATACACAGCTACACGGAAATAGTTGAAGAAAGGTAGAGATGATAACATGCTCAAAACACTCAGGAGAGCTTGTATGCCTGTACCAACCAGTGTCCACATACACGTACCTATGTACCCAATTACTCACTGATGTATGTACCTAGCCACCTTACCAACCATCCACTTCCTTACTAACTTACCCACCCACTCACCCATCCACCTACCCACCAATCCACTCACTCACCCACCCACCCATCCATCCACCTACCTCTCGTATCATCAGGTAAAAGTTGTATTGTATTCTCAGTGTGATGAAGTGTTAACTGCTACTCGGCACACTGCTGTAGAACTCGGTCTCACATTAAATACGTATATGTTTTAAATCTGAAGTATTTTTTTTGTGTAGATAGAATGAGCATTATTTATTAAACCATTTATTATGCATATATACAGTATTTGGCATGTTTGTTGTTCCTTAAGCATAAGTGAGTTTATTGCTTCTAAATTCATAAAGTTATGTTATTTTTTATATTCTTTGTTACTTTTTGTTTAATTGAAGTTCAAGCTAATTAGTTGTGTGGTTGGTCTCTCAATTATTAATTTTTTCGCCTATTTTCATCTTCATGTTAACTTGAAATGGCTTTTACCTAATAATTTTTCCAGATCTCATTCACTTAAGAATTGGTTAGTTTTCCTTTTTATCAGGTTCTGTACACTAATCAATTTGTAGTATGTAAATTTGTTTATGGTAAAGATATATACTATACATGTGTGGATTTACAGAAGATTTGTCTCGGGGAGTCTCAGGGTGAGGTATAAACTTGACTTTCTTCAGTTAATCACTTAAAATTTGGCTGTTTTCTCCCACTCTCAGATGAGGATGGAGCTTGCAGAATTTTGGTGAACTAGGTTTGGTAATTGACTCAGTAGCAGAGCTCAAAATATGTGTTGGATAATTCTACTTGTTTATCTGGTTATCAAATAAATGGTCGTTTATCATTTGTTTCCTCTAAGAAGTTGGAGGAGGTGTGAAAAAGAGGTTAATCTCAGTAAGTGTCTACAGTGGGCTAAAGTAGAATGGGAAAGATAAGAATAACCAGAAATAATAGTGTCATTTTATGCATGTAATGAGAATTGTCCAATAACTCATATGTAAAATTTTTCATAATTATCTCTCTCTCCATTAGGACTTGTGGTGTATTCTGTTATGTTTAAACAACTAGACTCTGCCAAATATTCATTCTGGTTGTCTTAACGAACAGAAGTTGACGGGAGTGAGGGGGCAGGTGCCGCACAGAATCTTCCCGCACACCCAACTAGTTCTCGTCCCAAGCCAGCCCTACCCAACTTGATTGCCAAGCAGCGCTCCTTCCGTTGTAAACTGTCCAACAAGAGCAAGTAGCTGAGGAAGAGGATGATACATTTACCTAATCCTACAGATGACTAGCTGAAATCTGATCTTCCTTTTCCAGACATTGATGATACACTTGATGATATTAGGGTAAATAGAAGGTAAGGATATTAAGACAGAGAAAGTGCCTTCCTGTTTCTGTTACACAGGAGACAGAGAAGAAAGCCCTATGGTTAGAAGCTAAAGGATTGTATCATTGGTATTCAACAGTTCAGTTTTAATAGAAATAAATGCAAGCTGCAATTCAGGTCACAGACTCACAGAGGTTTATGTGATGAATATTCTTGATATTCCTAGTAACTGAAGATGGAAGAATGAGTTAGGTTGAAGTACTAAATTTACATCTAAGAATAACCTCAGAATTTTACTAAGACTACATGAGACAAAGCCAAGTACATCATCTTATCTGGTGGTGAGTGAAGATATCCATTTACTTTCACTATAATTTTTAGGTAATTTTTTAATGCAAATTTTGCACTTTAGCCTAAGTCAAACTGTTAGTTGCATTCATATGTCTTCAATTATGAGGAATGTTTATTACACAAATCTTTGTGAATTATACCCCGGGGATGCTTAGACTTTCCAGCTTGTTTATGTTTTGCTCTCAGGAGAGGTTATGCTGGCTCCCTGAGTTTCACATCATTCAGATCCAGTGATGGTTGCTCTGGATACCTGGATGTATTTAATTAAGGAATAGGTGAGAAATGGAAGCTACAAGACACAATTGAAAATAGCAATTAGAATATGATGGATGTGATAAATACTTGTACAGCTAAGTGTACATCTGTCATTGAAATGCTGGCTTGGGATAATGTGATACTTTCTTCATTCATGGCCAAAGGTATACTAGATTGTAAGTAAATCTAGTTTATATAAGTTATTTTGGATGTTTGTTGAGTGTTGAGCTTCCTTACCAGTGGTATGTGGGCCTGAGAAGAGGCTACCTTTATCAAGATTACATTAATGTCACACATTGCTTAGCTACTATTCCAAGTTATGTTTGGCAACTACTGTTGGGTGTCATTGTTTGACTGCCAAGTTAATTGTGATGGATATGATTCTCTTTCTTAATTTGAAAGAGTTGCTTGTGTGTACTAGGTACATGAGTTCTGTAAATATAGCTTGCAGCTGAGGAAATACATCCTCCCTACTTTTGAAAAGTAACTACTTGTGACCTGTTAGTTGTTCTCTACCAATTGGGTTTAGCCACCCAGGACAAGGGTATTCAGTGATAACTTAGGTAAAGCATGTAATGAGTTAATAAGGAAAACAATCAGTATTGTATTTTTTTGTCAAACAGGTGAACTTTTGTAAAACAACCAGAAGTATATATGTGAGTGTGAATGATGGAGTGACTGCATATGAGAGAGTTGAGAGACTATATATAAATAGTGACTATAAACAGCTTCAGCCCAAGTTGAATTTGTGGCATGTTACAGCTTTTAATGTTTATCAGGTAACTGAATGTTAAGACAAGATGTCTGGTGCATAACCTCAGATGGTTTGGCATGAATGTCCTATTCTTGTGTCAATCTGCTTTATGAGGTTCCTGACAGAAATGAGCCTTAACAAGATTTTGTTTACAAATTTCATAAATACCAGTTTTTCTTCTTACATTTGAAAAGGTTATATGATTGTAACGTTGGGCAACCGTAGAATTCTGTATTTCCCAATAACTGTCTACCTTTATTATGTCACACTTCATTTATGCAGCTTCTGCTGCTGGTAATTCAAGTGAAAGCAAATGAATGAATCGATAGATAGTATATTCTTTATTTTTTAATTTGTACCATATATGACATGCCAAGTCCATTCTTTTTATTATATATCAGGGATACACAAAAAGTGCAACTGTTATAGTAGTTTAAATAATGGTAACTGCACAGTGTTTACTACTTTTGTTGACAAATTTTTTGACTATTTAATATGCAGACTGGTTTTGAACTGTAGCTTGTGAGAATACATACAGAGTACAGTTGATAGTGATCAGTGTTACGTGTGGTACACTGTGCTGTACATACTAAACAAAATATATATGTACAGTACAGTATACTGAAGACATTCCTAGGATACCAAACTATACTGTATACCCAGACACAGAGCATACAGAGGTTTAATATTGTAACACAGGAAGGAAGGAATGCAATTTTACTTATGATGCCTTTCCAGTTAGGAGTCAAACTATTGAAAATCTGAACTTGTCACTCTGTATCACTTAAAGCAGCTTTTTATCTCATTTTATGCTTATTAAGATGTTTGTATTTGTATTTTGCCTTTTACAGTAAGTTCTTGATTTACACAGGGATTACATTCTTGAAAATCTTATGTACAGTGCAGTACAGTACAATAAATCAAATTCATGCAGATTAACTTATTCTCATGTAAGTAAAATAGTAGATTGTATTCCTGGATCTCAAGAAAACATCATTACCTCCAAAATCTAATTTTTCATAATGAAGTAAACACTCTATGGTTTTGTGTAATATATACCATATTTTATGGCATATAAGATGCACTTTTGTCTGAAAAATTAAAAAAAAAAAATCAACTCATTCTACTGTAGTGGTGTATATGTGAAGTTTTGGTCTCGTAAGCTAATGAATCCCGCAGTTGCTGTCTTCAGTAGGCTAAATTCTACCTAATCCAACTCCAGAATTAAAAATATGTTATTGTATACTTTATCTCACTATTACTAATTTTAATTACAGTACCTGTAATTAAAAAATAAATTATTATAAATATAAAAGCTGGATTTATAGCAACTGATGATGATAACATTAGGTAATTAGCATCTGTATGGAACCCAACTCTTCAGAGCTAAGTTGTAACCATTTATGAACTCTTATAGGCGTTACTCTCTATTAATGTCATACCTGCATCATATATCTTATTATTTCTATTTAGAAACATTTTTTAGCTCTTGAAAGAAACATAAAGTTATGATGGTAGCGGTGAATAATGCCGACAGCCATCACTGAACGTTCATAGTGTCTCACTAGTGTGTAACATCATCTATTGGTGTGCAGCAAAGACTTGTGTTCAGTTGCCATTTCATGTTTTTAAAGGCCTAGTATGGACCTCTTAGTACAATGAATAATGATCTTAACAATACAGTAAACCCATGATAACTCGGCATTTGTTATCTCGGAATTTCATATTCTGTACTATAATTTGGCACATACTGTATATGGTCTCAGAATTTATAATAAAATAACTCAGGAAATGCCGAATTACTGTACATAAAATTATCTGGGAAAATCTTGGCATATTTGTGTCTGACACCAGTGGCGCTATAACCACTTTAAACAAAAAATTGCAAGGATAAACAGTAAAATTGATACATAGTGTAACATAAAATACAATAACACATATTTAATGTGCCAAAAATAGCTCCTTCCACACTCAAACCATCAGCCAGGCAGTCAACCAGCTGACTGAGATGTGTGTATGTGTGCCATGATGTCATGTGGGAGGGAGGGAGGGAGGCAGGTGAGTCAGCCACACAGTGCAAATCACTGCTTACACATATGTTCATCTCCTCCTCCCCCCCACACACACACTTATGCTCATTATTTTTCTTATTTTATAGTTTATTTTATATTTCCTTTATTTCTAAGCCACATTAGAGAATTTAAAATTTTACTCTTTTGCTCTGTAATAAAGAAAAATTGGCTTTATTAGGGTGGACTATAGTATCCTGAGTGATATAAGTTACATATTTATTAACCCTATTTTTTGGCATATAAGACACACGGCCATATAATACACATCCCCCATTATAGCAGGGATTATTTAGGAACAACTTTTGTGTTTATTCTCCCCCTGTAGCCATAGTTTTCTTAAAATAATATATACAGTACCAGTAAATGTGAGGAATAAATAAAAATAATAACAGTAAATAGGTTACAACAAAAAATACTGTATTGCCAAAACAGTAAATAAAAGCCATTTTTCAGACAAAAAAGTGAATCGTATATGCCGTAAAATACAGTCCATACTCTGTACTCAGATGTGAATTAAATGTAGAGAAAACTATTATTTTTGTTAAAATATCTTTATTTTTGTATAAGTTACCAAATTACAGTAGTATACATAAATGCCGATCTATTTACTGCTTAAGTAGCATTTCACCTGCATCACCTACCATTTCCCTGCATCACCTACCATTCCCCTGCATCACCTACCATTTCCCTGCATCACCTACCATTTCACCTGCATCACCTACCATTCCCCTCACCTACCATTTCCCTGCATCACCTACCATTTCACCTGCATCACCTACCATTCCCCTGCATCACCTATCATTCCCCTGCATCACCTACCATTTCCCTGCACCACCTCCCATGCCTCTGTGTCACCTACCATGTACCTGTGTCACCTATTGTTGTATTTTTGCCTCGGTAAGTCGGAATTTGGGATAATTCAGCAAGGCCAGAGCCCCATACGTGCCAAGTTATCAAGGTTTTACTTTAACAGCTGAGTGAGTACTAACACTGAATTTGACTTTGTCCTCATTTTAAGAAAAATAACCATGGCTACAGGAGAAAAATATGCTCAGAAGTTTTTTCGTTAATATTCCCTGCTGAAATATGAGTGTGTTACAAGCTGTAAAGTATGGTAAACGTTCTTCGACCCCACACACTACACTACCACTGTGGGCACTGTATTCACTCATGCCTCTTGCCCCCACACCTGACTTATTGTAGCTATTATGAGAGTGAGTGAAATATTGATAAAAAGACACCAATTTGGCAACTTGGCATCTCGAAGCCATTTATGTCTTAATATAAAAGATTCATATGATAACTCACATTGTGCTAGTAATTGCAAAAAAGTAGCTACATTTATTCATAGTCGAGTATATAAAATAATTAGTAGTATGAAATGACTGCATACATGTTCTGTCTCGTAGTTTACATTAAGACTGAATATGTACTCTGGGGATGGTGATTCTGAAAAAGCAGTTCTGTATTGTTGGGGTTACAGTCAGTTTATGTTGTAAATATATACACTTGTCACTCATCAACTGTGGTAATTATTCATACTTGCGTTCATTCTGGATAAAGGCATCAGACCTATGCATCTAAATCACTGAAACAATCACCTTCACATATACAAACCTGCATATGTACCTACCCATTAATGAATCCGTCAACATCTACACAAATGTTGGAACCTCATTATTCGTGACCCATGTGCATATACTAAATACTTACACGGTGTTAATGAGAATATGTATACTGTGCTCACAATTTACAGTTCAAGTCCTTAAAGGTCACCATTGTAAATTATGTAACGGTGTTTTTGAGGACACTTATGTGATCTCTTGAAGGGGTCGTACCATGGGATCAAAGTTGGTATGGCATTGTGTTTGGAACCTGTGTGTATATGAGATAAAATGTTTATAATGGTTCAGGGGTTCACTCTTAGCAACACCTTTTACTTTGCACACACACACACACACACACACACACACACACACACACACACACACACACACACACACACACACACACACTTCAAAAATAGTATCCTGCCAACTTTAAACACCTTGATATGACTCCTTAATATGATGGCATGAAACTAGGCAGTGTGTTGAGAACTTGATTGAGGAATCATTGGGAACAATGTTTATAGTGAAACACTGGCTGTTGGATAATTGTTGTGTTGAATCTTCACAAAGTTGAGTATAAACTGTAGACTTAGTATTATTTCTTATTCTTTCTTGTAGTAGAATAAGTAAACTGATGTTTATATGAGATTTATATGTTTAATATTGAAAGCTTGTAATCCAACTGTTATTTTTTAATATTATATATATCTTGAAATTGCAGATTTCATAAAGGTTTTTAACCAAAGACAGGCAACACTCTTGGGGAATATAATTTAGCTATAAAGTAATGTACAGTAGTCCATTTTGTTCTTCTAGTAAGTTGTATACAGTCATAACTTGTAATTAAGGAAGAGGCTGTTTAACATGTAGAGGGATACCTTGTTAATGAGTGACTTTCATATAAAAATAAATTTTTATATTTCTTGGCACAAATACTTGAGCTTGAGGTTATATGATACTGGGTAAAAATAATTTATATCAGCCAGCAGTGATGTTCACAATTTTATCACAAATTATATTGAGGCTGTGATCCTACCCAGAAACAAGCTCAGTCTCGACCCAAAGATGAAACGATTAATTTAAATCTGACTTGTGACTTCATAGAATTAAACAAAAATCAATCCATTTTTAATGAGAAATTAAATCTTTTATGAATATAATATTAATTAGGGAAAAATTCAAAGATTAATAAAAAAAAATTATTCTGTTGTGACCTTATACAGGTGGTCCTCACTTTATGCTACATCATTTAATGCCATTTTGGTACTACTATTTATGTGCAGACTCTGTTTCTTCCGCTACCCGACTCATGTGAGAAAAAATTGCAGTTGTGCAATTGACTGGGTGTACGAAGCTTGTGTGACCGCTGTAGGTGTATCTTCACTGTGCAGGTGGGGCTCTGGAGGTCTTGTAGGAGTGGTGAGTGGTGCTCTGGAGGTCTTGTGAGAGTGGGTGGTGCAGTGAGTGAGTAGCCACACAAGGTAGCCCATGTGCTCCCATCACCCAGTGTAGTAGTTTCCATTGTTGTCTGCGGACTATGCTACTCTCGTTTTGTATTGCATGTATTTGCCAGTACTGTTGACTAGTATAATGTCCACTAAGCACCCCTACAGTGCATCTCTTTAATTTCTTTATGTATCCATTGATGAAACAAAAGAGGACTGCTTTAATACTAGAAACAAAGTTAAAAATATTGAGGTGAGCCATATGCACTTGGTCAGGAATTGGACCTTCAGGAGAACACATTATCTGCCATCAAGCAGTATGTGGACAAAATAAGGAAGTCAACATTTCTTTCAGTAGATATAATAACAGGAATATTAAGTCTTTAGCTGAAAAAAATGAAGATGGTCAGAATCTGTATTGAGGATCAGACATAAAGGAAAATTGCAGACCTCGAGTGGTTAGAAGTCCCTGTTATATTGTATTCACATTTTTAATTAATTAATTTATTTTTTACATGTCAGATAAGATTGTATTATTTTATTAGGGAATTTTACATTGTATATGTTAGCGATGAGTGTTAGAACCTTTTTATTTGGTGGCTGGGGGTCAGTAGAGGTCCTGAACCATATTCATATTAGATACACGTAATAAATTGCACTCTTGTTGGAAATCGTTTGATGTGAACTGTCTCTCTCTTTCTCTCTCTTTAATACAACCCCTGCATGAATTGAGGACCACCTGTTATAGGATACTTGGTGAAGTTACAGTGGCTGACAGGTCCAGACTAACACCATAATGAGAGATCACTTCAATTTGGGATATGGAATAAAGTTGACATATTTTCTTCCCCATATTTCTGACATAAGGTGTGCCATCATGTGATTGTGAACTCAAAATGTGTATAACTTTGATTTACATGATGTTTTATTTATAATGTTTAGGGCCTTTGCAGAATTGTCATAGTCAGGTGA